GAGCTACAGTCTCCAGTTTCCAATATGATAGACAATGTTGTACTTGGAGAGAATATGGTGGTCTCCATCCTTTCTGCAGACTTTTTGAACATTCAGTCTTACAGCTCACCTTGCTGAACATTCTACACCAAGCTCTAAGCCTGACTCTGTGAAATCCCACCATTCCACCCAAAAGAAAAATAGATGGTACACAGAAGAGTAATTCAATAAAGAAGTCATTAAAACTTTTCAACTCAAGTAACTTCTATGACCTTCATTGCCAGATAAACTTCCCCTACTCACCAAATATGTTTATCTGATCACGCTGAAGCCTAAAGTTCAATGTTATTTAAGTTTTTTCTCGTTTTTCTGAATGTTTGCTTGTATTTTGTTTTATAGTGTGAAATTTTCAAAGAAATATCCTATATATGGTATAGTCTATAAATGGATCTGTTTTTCTTTTTTTCAATTTTATTTCATTACTTCTAGTTGCCACATAAAATACCATTTAGAGTTCTCCATGTGTTTAGATGGTTCAGAATATCGGTTTTATTGAGTAAGTAAAACATATAGCCCACTTCCATAAGCAACTATATTTTGAAGTGGCAGATGAAGCTGTATGGATTTACTATGTGCACACAAGCTCTGATAAACATAGAAACGATATTAACTCCTTTGGACTGAATCTAGTGATGGGCAGGGCAGCTCACTGGGTAGTTGAGTGTCTATATGATGAAGCTGTCTTGTGGCTTTGACCAAAACTGAACTTTTCCGAACTCGTCTCCTTATCACTTATAGATCCAGTATCTTCTCCCTAAACTATCTCACTGTTACATTCTAATATAACAGAAGATTATCGTCTTATTTGGATTTTATTGAAAATTTTCCTTTTCCCTCCTACTGTCAATCATATGTCGCATCTTTGTATTAAAAGTTGTATTTCCTACTAGCATGTTTTAATAGTTAAACTGAAAACCCATTTTGAAATTACAACATGAAGTGGCAAACTGAAAAACCTTTTCAATTTAAAATAAAAAAGAATTCTTACATTTTATATATGCATATCTACTTTTTAAAAATATTACTAAATTTTAAAACTTTATGAAGCATTTAGGTATTTGTGGATTTTCCTGCTCTACAGATATGAACTGAATAGTGACACATATACTCTAGATACGGACTACAGATGAAATTCCTTAGCAGGCAGGTGACATCATTCTTCAAAATGTACAGACAGTGCTTTGTTCAGATTTCACAACTGCCGTTTGTTGGAGTCCTTAGAACTAAAAAATTATATCTGATATGTCTCTCCTCTTCTAAAACACTTTTCTAAATCAAGTTACCTAGTTTTACTTGATAATATCAGAATTTTTTCATCAAATCCTTTAGAATCTCAAGATAGTTTCTAAAAACATAATTGTGGGCTTGTACACCAATGCACTTTTTTTATGAGAAAAAAGAAAAAGAAAAAAAAACCTATCCTTTCCCCTGATTTTCCAGTTTTTCCATCTCGTCTCTAAAAAGTGGTGGCAGGAAAGCGAACAGGAGTGGGGGCAGGGAAACCTCCCAGAGGCACGGCTTCACTAATGTAATTCCATAAATCAACTAATGGGAGAGAAACCAGATCTGTGTGGTCTCTAATGCTGTCCCACAGAGATCAATCATGTCACCTGAACAATGTTCAGGGCCTAAGAGGCTGGGCTTGCCCATGGGACAACTTTATCCCTTGAGTTACATTAGATTGTGATATTTTAAAAAGTTAAATCTTTGTATCAGAGGAAAAAAAAAAAAAAACTACTGCGTATATACAATCTGAAGGATTACCTCAGCTAGAGAGAAAGTATTAACATATCATAATAATCTTCTACATGGTCATATTTCAAATACATCTATGAACTTAATATTAATTAAGGACATACATTTTTAAAATAAATTTTGTCCCACAGGAGTACAACACATTTGTATCAACTGCTTTTAACAATTAGTGGCTATTTGTTAATATAGTGATTGATGAATGAGCAGTGACATATGCAAATACACAGTACACAAAACACAGGGCACTCACTATTTCATGGGTATTACCATACTGAATGTCAACAGGAGTGGCTTCTTATAAACATAAATTGCTCTTAAAATGGGTCTAGGCAGGGAAATGTCATGTTTAAAGGGAGGCTAGAAAAGGGGGCTTAAGAGAATGTGGGCACAAATCCCAGCACATCCATGTGAATCTTTCTTAATCTTGGTTTACACAGCCTGAAAGCAATCTGACTATGCCTCCAGTCTCTGGGAAAAGAACAGGTCAAAGAGGAGAAGGAGGGCACATAGGTTTGGAGTGCTAAGTAAGAATATGAACTGTGATTAGTATGTGGATGTTAAGTCCTTAAGTGTCCACGAGTTAAAGCCACAAGCATTAGCTACCAAGTTTAGGACCGAATCCCACTCCTGGACCTCAGACAAAAGTCCACCCACTCTCAAAAACATCTCCTGAGATGATAATGGAGCAAAATAGAGACAGGAAACCAGCTCAGCAGAGAGACTTTTTAGCTCTGGCTCAGTCATTTACACTGTTATTCTATGCACGAGCCTTGGCAGTTTCTTACAGCTGTAGCTTGAGGTGGGTACATGTGGGTTTGAGGTAACCACAAGGCAGTTACCTATTTGTGGCCTGGATGGACACTCAGACAAATTTAAAAACGCCCCTTTCTTTTGTCCTGTCTAGTAGTATTCCGTTACTTATTATGGCATTTTTTTATTGAACCATACATAACCCATGCTCTAGTATGAGGGAATCTTTACTCTGGAAAGCATCTGCAAAGGGAAATTTGCACTCACTCTCTCATCCACTCCCAACCTTCTGCAGGGTCACAAAATTCTGAGCATGTTAATTTTCAAAGACAACAATGATTCTATGATCTTTGGAATCATGAAAAAAAAATTGAGTTTGTGAGAAACCACTAAAAGAGAGACAGAGAAGAAATATGTGAAGCCTTATTTAAATGAACATACCAGCATAGAAACATGGCTGACAGCCTACTAGAACTCATAGCAAACTCCTCTGGAGTGATTACTGACTAAATTAATGAGAAGTATTCAATGGCCCTTCCCACTACCCTCCTACAATGGTGTACAGGTGGCACCAGTGACTGCAGCTAAAGCTGAGGCATAACAATGCCAAAACTATAGCTGTACACATCACTTCTCAATGAGAAATTAGAAGCCATACAGTCCTATTCACTGGGCATTCACAGGAAACCATACTGTAAGCTAAATTTTGATTTTCCAGTGCCTTCCAGTCTGATTGATGTCATAGTAAATTAGACCCCAACAGAGTTCAAAAGCTAATTCTTTTGCCATCTGAGAATATATATCCATCTGCACTGGGGCTGCTTGACCAGCCAGAGTTGCCCAAAGGAAGAACAATGAAGCACCCTTTGGTAAAAATTAAAGTTCCCAAGAAGACGTGGCTTCTTTATAAAGAGGAGTAAATGTGAATGTGACGCTGTGGCTGGGACTGCAGTCCATATGCTTCTGACTTTGGAAATCCCAGTCCCTTGGCCTTGGTTTGTACCAAAACGATCCATCTTCTTCGCAGTCAAACCAGAAGCAAGATCTTTAACTTTTATGTTTATTCTTTGAAACTCCAATTCTCAGTGGTTCAAAGGAAACATCCCTAGACATGTACCTAATTTTGAAAAAAAAGAATACGCAAGTCTTCCTCAGGACAGAGTGTGACAATCACTCAACTACAGTCTTGTCTACAGAACCTTCCCAAATCCTATGCCCACTGCCCAGCCTCAGGTATGTGCAAGCAGCTAACCTCCCTCCATTCCACCATGAACTGTACTTGCCTGCCGGATTTCCTTTCTGAACACGTCTCCAAACCAATATACCTGCAATCCTGCATTTTTCCTTTTGTGTTTTGATTAGGTTATCATATAAAATGTTCATCGTGTACATCAATCTTAATTTGAAATGTAATTAAAACGCTAATTTTAGGGTAACGCTAGTGAATAATGACTGTTCTAAAAAAAACCTATACAAAAAGTAATCTATCATTTACCATATTTGGCATCAACTTAAACCTCTCTTCTCTATGTTTAGAGTAATTTTGCAACCACAAAATGGTTACTTTGTCAGATACTGAACCCAAGGGAAATGTAAAAATCTAAAACAACAATAGAAACAACAGAGTTTTCCTGGAATTACATTAAAATATCTTTAAAATAGCTCCCCCTCACACACACACAAGCCACAATAGTAAATAATTATCACTTTACTCAAAGTCACATTTCAAAAATGGCTGGTGGCTCTCAGCTCTTTATACTATTTCTGCTTGCTCAAAAAAATATTAGGAAGACAAAAAATTAAATAGGAAATAAAACATTCTGTCAGGCTAAGGAAAAAAATTATTCTGAAAGAGGATAAAAATCCCCCTTTGAGCACAAGCATTTCAGCACGCACACCACACACACACACACACACACACTATATATATGATACATGGTATATACACGTATGTATGATTATACTGTAGGTTCTGTACCACGTGTGCAGTGTTATGTCTGGGCCTCTAGTAAGTCCTTTTTTTAGCCACATATATATACATGTATGAATGATGGATGTGTTTAATATTTTGGGCAGAGCTTTTTGTTTTGGGTTTTCCTGAGGGTACAGTTTAAAACAGCAAGGGAAAAAATATTAAACATAGTCAAATGTAAAACTTCGGATTCTTAGACCAATTACATTTTTTTTTCCAGAGATAAAAAATAAAATAAAAAAATAAAAAAAAAGGAGGAGCACCCTCTAGCAGAAGGGCGGTTCCAGGTGAAGCGCAGCTGGGAGGGTGGTGGAGAGGCCATGCCCTCTGCCAACCACCTTCGTCGGTATGTTACGACCTGCAAGAAGCTTCAGAAAAGGGGGTGCTGCGTCTTGAAGCCAGACAAGAAACCCTGTGGGGGAGAGGAGAGGGGAGTGAGGAGGGAGGGGGCGAGACTGGGAAACAAGAAATCATCTCCTCTGACCTCTAGCGAAGTGCCAGGTTTTTTCTTTAGCTCTTCACATTTTCTAAATTTGCAGATCTGGTGTCCCGTTTTGCGGTTCCTGCAACTGCTGCAGACGCCACAGTTGATGAGCCTCTTGCAGGGCACGCAGACCCCACACCTTTTCCTCTTCTTCTTGGCCGGGTTGGCTCCGCCAGCTCCCCCCGAGGAGGACGAGGAGGAGGAGGAATGATTCTGCGGGCAGTCTGCCAGATTGGCAATTTGAAACGCACTGTCTGTGACGGCTGCTGAGGCTGCTGCGGGGGAGTGAAGGGCTGTCATGACGATGACCCCTGGAGGTAATGAGATGCCCCCTAAAGCCGGGATAGCGGAAAAAGTCCCCACCCGCTCGGGGAGATTCATTATCTCTGCTTCAGCAGCGCCGCATTTGAGCTTGTTCATGCATTCCCCCGCCAAAGGTCTGCAGTGTTCGGGGGATAAGGTGGAGAGGAAATTAGTATTTGCCATTTGCAACGACGGCTCTGGCGGACAGCCAGCCTTCCCCAGCCGCTGGGAGTCGTTCCGGTGGTGCATGCTGGTCCTGCCGCCGCCGCCGCCGCCGCCACCGCCGCCGCCGCCGCCGCCGCCGCCGCCACCACCGCCGGCGGCGGGGAGGATCGCCGAGGAGGAGGCGGAGGAGGAGGCGGCGGCCGAGGAGGATTTCCTGCCGGCCCCGCCGCCCCCGCCGCCGCCGCCGCCGCCGCCGCCCCCGCTGCCCCAGAGCATCGCGGTGGCGGCGGCGGTGGCCGCGTTGTCGCAGTTCCACGGGGACATGCCGATGCGCGCGGCGGCCGCGGCGGCGGCGGCGCTGCTGGGGAAGATGGGGGTGGTGATGCGCGCGATCTTGGCCGCCTGCGGGAAGGCGCCCCCGTTGGTCTTGTAGAAGGAGGTGGCGAAGGAGCGGTAGCGCTCCATCTCCGAGTTGTAATCCACAAGGCTGTTCAGGGCCCCCTCGGGCAGGTGGCTTTCCTTGGGCAAGCCCGGGGCCTCCGGGCTCGGCCCGGGCTCCACGCAGACATTGGTGTTCATGGTGCAGGGGGGGAAGAAGGGGTGCAGGGTGGAAGTGGGGACCGCCTGGTCCGACACCTGGGTGGGAAAGGGGGGGAGGTGGGGGGGAGGGAAACGGGTGATGGTGGGGTCGGGGTACGTGCCGGGCCGGGCGGGAAAGGGTGATCCGGGTGGGGATAGCAAGGTGAGGGCTGTTCTAGTCCTCTCTGGGGCGCATGTCCACGGACGGTGATTTCCCCGGCAGCGTCTTCCTTTGCATTATCCTCCAACTGTTACAACTAAAATAAAGAAAGTCATTCCAACGAGCTGCACAAGGAGGAAAAAAATTAAAATAAATAAACAGCCGCCCTCGCTACCCCACCGAAGAAACTACAGAAAGGTCCCACGTTCTCCAGTCGGTCGTTTGCATAACAATCATCAAGACGTGACCCCCCCCCCAACACTCCCAACCCCTGCTCCCTCCCTTCCCGCAGCACACACCACACAGCCCCTTCCCCCGCCCCATTCTTGTAACCCTCCTGAGAAAAAAATGTATTAATAGCTAGAGTACCCAGGGAAAGAGGAAAGACGGGGGAGGGGGAGGGGGTGACAAATGCCGAGGGAAAAGGGCAATTGGAGTGCTAAAGACATGCAAATCAGGGGTGGGAGGGCGATGCTACCTATAGGCAGAGGGCATTTAAACATTATGAAATGTGTGAGCAAGTGCTGCCTGGGCATGCAAATGCTGTAAAGTAGAAAACAGCAATGGCCCTAGGAGGGAAACGAACAGGAAATTAGCAAATGAAGTACTGAGAAAGTCTACAATACATCCGAGCATAAACTGTAGGCAAACACAATACAACTGAGAGCTACAAGCCTGCCCACATACAATCTGAACTAAAGAGGCAGGCGAGAGGGGGGGAAAAAAAAGAAACTACCAGCTGCCACAGTGTCCTTCTGTGTCTGCGGTCATTAGTTTGAATCCCAGCACAGCTGGCTCTGTTAGGGTCTTAATTCAATGGACCAAGGACAGGTCTCAATTGTACAAGCCATTTGGTGGCAGGGGCAAGAGGGTGGTGTATTACTTGTTTAAAAAAGGCGGGGGGGGGGGATGGGATAGCTAGATGGATGGATGGATAGATAGATAGATAGATAGATAGATAGACAGATCTCAAATACAAGCAATGTCACAGGCTCAGAACTGTCTGCTGCCCCTGTAAGAATCCTCCCAATCATTTCTAATGGAGATTGCTGTCTTTTAAAAAAAAAAAAAAAAAAAAAAAAAAGGAAAGCAAGGGACTTAAAAAACATTCATTCACTAACACTGATTTTTGCAGAGAATGAAAGAGAAGAGAGAGCCCTTCAGGTGTTGTTTACCCAAAGAACCATTAAGGTGATTCCCCCCCCCCTTTTTTTTAAGAAGAAAGTTTAATGCTAACTGGGTATTTGCATTTCTCTCTCTACTTACAGGCCATCATTAAGCTTTAGGAAGAGGTACTTCAGTTGTTTACTAAAGGTGAGAGGTAACACCACAGCCTTTTAAGAATTAAAGCAAAGAAGTAAAATATATATTCACCTTTAAAAACCAGTTTCTTTGTTTCCCTTTTTTTTTTTTTTTTTTTTTTTTTTTTCAAAGTACCTTTCTCTGGCATCTTCTGAAGCCTAGAGATTGGCATAGAAGGTGGAGTTCAGGAAATTAAACTGAGGGCCTAGTAGTCTCTGTCTCACATTCTCAGAGTTTCAAATGCATATCAATTATAGTAATTACGCTTATAATTAGATTAATGAACCATTATGTCCAAACTCCAAATGCAAAAACTTCAAGATCTACTGATGAGGCACCCCAGAAAATGGGTTCATGTAAACAAATTCCTATTAGGCAAAGTAAATCAAGATAAGGAACCTCCCCCAGGCTGGATTAGAAGCTAGCAGGCACCCTTCAATCACAGCAAGTCCCTAATCACTCAGGAACCACCTCTGTGGTTTCGCATTAGGGAAAGCTGCTCCCTTCTGGGGTCTGATGACAATACAAAGGTGGCCCCAAAGCCTCCTGGCTAAATATTCTTGAGGGCAAGGGTTTGGGGGCAGACACAGCAAGAATACACATACAGCTTCTGTGTCTGAGAGTCACATTGAAGATGCAAGATCTTAATATCCGCTACTCACTAAGAACTAGTTATGCCAACCATGCAATAGGCATCATCACACTGAGTGGAGGGAACATTTCAACATTTTACTCTTTTGACCTTGTTCCAAAAAAAGAAGGCATTTAATATTCCCTTTTCAGTCTTAGAGTGGTGTTTCCAAACAAGCTGTCCTTGCTTCTCTGATTGTCACCACCTCCTCCCCCTTCCCACCTCTAGGTTCAATGCCACCAGAAACTGTAGAAAATGACTGTGCCCAGTATCCAGGTCATTATTGTTTAATCAATGCATCCCTGGACCATGAAAAAGGTGTCCAAGCCACAGCTATTGTTTGGCTTTTATTTAGCAACAAAATAAAACACACACCAATAACTACCATTCTGATACCAAAGCTAAATTAAACATCCACACACTTCATGATCCTGCTTTGCCCCTGAACAATGTGACTGTACAATGTACAAGCCCAATACTGTATGTCTGGTCTACCAGAGACCGAGATCAAAGGTCATATTTAACATTCAGGAGGAGGGGCGGGTGCAGATTAATTAATTAATTAATACAGCCACGGTTTTTATTGCTGGAGTCCAGCATTAATCTACTTTTACAATCCCACCGGACAGCAAACATTTAAGAGAGAAAGAGAAAGGGGGGAAAAGCCAGAGAAAGAGAAAGAACAATCACTTACCAGTCTCTTTTTATTTGGGGAGCCTTAGAATTTGCAGACGCTGCCAGTCTGCCTTTAATTAGTTGCACATCACCCCCTAACACAAAGAAACACAGGTCCAGATGTGTCTTGGCAGCTCGCAATTACAACTTTAATACTTGTAAACAAACTGTTGGGAATGGGGGGGTGGGGTAAATAAATATGCGGATGAAAAAAAAAATACCTGTAAATGGCTTTTTTTTTTTTCTTGTTGCAGAGAGGAGGAGGAGATGGTGTTAGTGGAGGGGGTGGAAGGAGGAGGAGGTGGGGGTGGAGAGGAAAGAGCCGAGTGTGAGCGTGTGTGGGAGAGCGCGGGGCTGTTGTCGGTGGTCTCTGCTCTTCCCAGCGCGTTGCTCCCGGTCCGTCTCCAGTCGCTGTGTGCGAGGGAGGGAGGGAGCCGGGGAGTCTCTCTCTCTCTCTCTCTCTCTCTTTCTCACCCTCCCCCCCCCTCGCTCTGTTTGTGTGTGTGCGTGTGTGCGGTGGCTGGGGGAGGGGAGAGCAGAGAAAGGCGAGGGAGGCGGTGCGGAGCCGGGGGCGGGGGCGGGCCGCGGCGCCGAGGTGAGCAGGACGCAGGCCGCGGACACCTCCCGATGATTGGCTGCAAATTACACGGGGAACAAGAGGCGCACGCGGGCCAGCGCTCCTTTTCACAAATCCCCCAGCTCGCCGGCGCGGCCACGTTTCCCGGCCCGCCCGCCAGCACCCGGCGCGGCGGAGGATTTGCTTTTTTGCTCTGGCAGATAATTGTTTGGAAGGGATGGAGAAGAGGGCGTTCCCGCCCCTCGCGCCCTCGCTCTCTGCGGGTGTGTTTGTGCACGCTGGGCGGGGGGTGTGTAAATAAACTTGTCTGGGTTCCCTGGCTGAGCAGGAAAGAGCCATGCCAGACACAGAGGGGAGGTCCTGCGTGGCGCAGGGAGGCTCTCAGTCTCACAGCCCGGTCGCGAGCTTTTAACCGGTGTTCCTGGAGTGGCCGGGAGAGACTCTTTAAAGGGAAGCATTATCTTTGGGGGATTTTTAAAGTAAGGGAGAAGGGGGCGGGTGTTCTGGTGGTTCGAATCCTTGAAATGTTGTTATGCCAGATTGTAAAAAAAGAAAAAAAAATTTTTTTTGATGTGATGCTTGACCGGCCTCAGTGTGTGGCTGCCTTTCTCTCTCCTCCCCCTCCGTCTTCCATTCCCACTGCGTCCCAGTCTCCCTGCCCCCTAAGGCTTCCCCCTCCTGCTTTACTGTTTCATCTGCTAGGTCCAAGGAGTCAAATAATCTATTCCACCTCCCTAATTTTAATTCCGAACTTTACTTTTATATCTAAATGATCTATTTTAACTAGATTTCATGTGATGAACGTTTTACTTCCCATTACCTGGGGAAAATACTTAAAGCTGAAAGATAAATATTTAGCAAACATCTCATATAAGTAAACTCATATAGAAATGCAACTGTGAATTAACCTCTTCACTACTGCCTCAAAGAAGGTGATGTAACCTGGACACACGTTCTCTGCCTATTGAACTGGCAGAAACAGTCATGAAATAGGATGTAAAGTTTTGAATCCTTTAAAATATGATTCTTTCTCCTTCCCCCCACTTGGATGGGTTTCACACTGTAGCCAAGGCTTTTCTGGAATTTACTATATAGCCCAGGCTAGCCTAGGTCCCTTCTAGGCAGTCATCCTGGCTCAGTCTCCAGAGTGCTAGGACTATAGGTGTACATCAGAGCATCTCGCTCTAAGGGAGTTTTCTGAGCGGAAACAAAGTCAGATTAAGCTTATTATAGAGAGTAAAGTTACCAATCTGTAGGCTGTCATTTTGTTCTAACAACAGGACAGTGTTCTTTGCTTTACAGAAGTTTTTCAGTTTCATGAGATCCCACTTATTGATTGTTGATCTTAGAGCCTGTGCTGTTGGTGTTCAGGAAGTTGTCTCCTGTGCCAATGAGGCCAAGGCTCTTCCCCACTTTTTCTTCTAACAGATTTAGTGTGCCTGGTTTTATATTGAGATCGAAACAGAGGCTGAGTCTCATAGCCAAACATTGGGCAGAGTGCAGGGAATCCTATGGAAGAAGGGGGAGATAGAAACACCTGGAGGGCACAGGAGCTCTACAAGGAGACCAACAGAACCAAAAAATCTGGGCCCAGGGGGTCCTGCAGAAATTGATGAATTAACCAAGGACCATTCATGGAGAGGACATAGACCCCCTGCCAGATGTTGCACATGGGCAGCTCAGTCTCCAGATGAGTCTCCTAGTAAGGGGAGCAGGGGCAGTCTCTGGCATGAACTTGGTTGCCTGCTCTTTATTCACCTCCCCCTGGCACTTGTAGGGGGAGCGGGGGGGGGGGGGGATGCAGCCTTACTAGGCCACAGAGGAAGAGGATCCATACAGTCCTGATGGGACCTGATAAGCTGGGATCAGATAGTAGGGAAAGAGGACCTCCCCTATCAGTGGACTAGTGGAGGGAGATGGGGTGGAAGACGGAGGGAGGGTGGGACAGGGAGGAAATGAGGGAGGGGGCTACAGCTGGGATACAAAGTGTGTAAATTGTAATAAATAATTTTTAAAAAGAGTAAAGTTATACATTGAAATAAAAAAATATATTGTAGAGTAGTATAGTAGTTTCAGAAAAGGAAGAAAAATATGTATTGTTTTGTAAAAACAAATTGCTGTAAGATAGTTTCAACCATTTTGTATTTGAATTTTCAAGATTTCCCTTGCGCTTGTCAAGATTTGGCCAAGTGCATGTTATGGATAGTAGATAAGATGGCAAGAGTGGTAATGTGCACGCTCAAGGTGTTCTTTCAAGAGGCAGGAGTGGTTAAATAGGGGCAGGCATGTTCGTGACTCTATGCGTATTTGTCATGTTTTTAGACAAAGGCTAAATTTGTTAATAAATAGTTATGTCCCTTTCAGACAAAGTAATTGGATAATTAATAAGACATTTCTACATTCATGTGAATGCTTTACATATTCAAAGAAAGAAGCACTCCATTCGATGTTCATTTTCTTTTTGTTTTTGCTTTTGTGCTGAGCATCAAATGAAACCTATCAGAAAACTGCAACCATTTTTAATGAGTAAACACATTCTATACAGACCCCGAAACACCTTTTCAAGTGTATGGATATATACATAGGGTTTGCTTTGTTTTGTTTTACAGGGTCTTGCTGTACATTTCAGAGTAGCCCTGAACTTATCTTTGCCTAATGAATATTAAGATTACAGGCCGTCCCAGCTGGCTTCCAAGCTTTCAAATATCTGAATCAAAGGTTTAATGTTTAAAGTTGCTATTGATAACTACTATTGATGACCTATGTTTACCAGGTACTGTGTTCATTAATTTGCAATGTCTTATTTTTATTTACATACTTTTATTTTAAAAAATAAAGAAATAGAATCCCAGAGAAAGTCAGAAAATTTTACCTCATAAAAATTTAGCTCTACCAAATCCTGTTTTTCTCAAACACTTTATTTTACCTCTGCCTGAGTTTTATGATCAATAATTAATTGATCAGTAGATCCTCTCTAATATCTCTAAGATATTAGAATCTTAGATTTAATTATGATTGTAGACCCCTGGCTAATGTGCAATCAACTGAGCACACAGGGAAAATTATAAACAGTCCTCCTTACTTCTTAAATATGGCCTCCATCTTTTTTTTCTACTAGAGAATTAACAGTAAGCTTTGGCAAATGTGATGAAGAAAAATTTATTTTCATGTCCATTTCCAATCTCATTATTTTGATATGATCTTAGATACATGTATGCCCACCATTTCTTACACTAGTCTATGCCCTATATCGTTTTCATAATAAAATGTCCGAGTTTTGAGAATTGTTTGTCACTGTTAATTTTCAGTTAGCTCTCATCAAGATCCATAATTCTGTGAGATACTAAAACTCAATGATTACAAGATGCTTGCTACAACTTCCAACTAGTTGCAAGTTATTTGTATCTTCTGCTTCTGTGATCAATATTACTGTCATTATCTCAGAATCCCTGAAAAGGTGGTTACAGCTGTTATGGCCAATAAAACTGCAAATACGTCAGTGGGAAGCCATAGAAATACACTGGTCATCCTACTGATGGTCATTCTAGGTCAGAGCACTGCTCAGCTCTGAGGGATTCATGGATCCCATTTCCTTCTGTTCTGGGGCTTCAGCATCAACTACTCCTCTGGTGTTAAAGGGGTGAGTGCAGAGAGAAAGCAAAACTGATTGGTCTTGATGTTGGACACAGTACCCAAGCAGCCATGTACTTGCCAAGAACTGGGAATAAGCCACACATGGCTGCAAAGACCCCTGGGAGGCCACTTCCTGAATGCAACTTTATTACTGAGAAGGGGAAAACATATGATGGACAGCTGGCAGCCTCCACCCACAGTAAGCCTAGAAGAATAACTAACCTTCCAGACACTGTGCAGACTACATAGCTCAAGAGACCTTTTTCTTCTGGGGCTGTTTCACTAATTACTGCCCTTTGAGATTACCACTGCAAGAGGCGGTTTCTTAGTGACTTCATGGAAAGTCTGGCAACTAGGAGCAAATTATGCTTCCTTAAATACCTAAGGACGGGCAAGACACACATAGATTGTTCAACTAAAGGTTTACTAAACAACACAGAAAGCAGAAATAATACAGTCCAAGGAAATGCCATAAATCTGAAATAAAATAGCTTAGAGATAAATGTGAGATGAAGCCAGCTTCCCTTTTCCCTCTAAGAACTCTGCTTATGCAAGCCCACTTTCCCCAGCTAGCATAGTCCACCTTGCCATTACCAGACAGAAAAATTAACAAAACTATAGTCTAATACTTATCTAATAGACTTATATGGATGTATATATCCCACAATGATCGTAAAAGAGGGAAATAACATTTCACATTTCTTCATAGTTCATGTTAAGAAAACATTTCAAAGTTTACTTGGTGATATGAATCCACATATACTAGATCTTGATAACCAAAAGTCTGCACCCATGTCATTGTCTTTCACTTCCAATTAAATATGGAGGCATCAGTATCACCATATTGAGCTTCATATTCCAAGATGGTGCATTTTTGCTCCTAACCCAGGAGGCCTTGAGTTTTAAGCTTGCCATTGTCATGACTTTTCTCATGACTACGTGGGCTGAAAACTGTGACAATTGAGAGGAATGAAAATAAAAGTCACAGGGTTAAGCCTATTACCTTGACCTCACTGGCACTGAAGTCATATCAGCTATGCTAATCAAGCTAGGCATCCTTGCATATTTTCACATATAGTTTGTCCACCAGACAAATGCACAGCAAGAACTATCCTGGGCTACGTTTGTAAAACTGTTTCATGGAACCAAATTTGGTCTCACTCCATGCTTATTATAGCATTAGTTATTACA